GAAAGCCTGAATGAGGGCTTTTGTTGATGAATCTTTCTGAAGACGTTTATGAAGCCACCATGCTGTGCAGGCTAAGTCTTTGTTTTGTAGATATAATTATATTTCATACACTATTGCTGATCTTTTAGGGGCTGACAAACAGTTACTATTTACTTTTCTGTACTTAATGAGAATAGTGATTTAGGGATGTTTTGGCTCTCATTTAGATCAGTGAAATGTGAAATGAAAATTACTAATACTTTCAGTAAGTACTAGATTAAATCCTAAATTATGTAGAACAACTAATCAGACATAGTATTGTCAGATGTAATATCAGACATATTAGACCTTATTTTAATGTRAAAGTACCTCTCAGCCAAAGATCTAATAGCACCTTATGTAAGTAAACATTATTGCTGCCGAATATCCCCAAAATATTTCTTATGATCCAAGACCTCTTATTCATAAGGACATTAATATACACCTTATTTCCCCACTCTTCTTGAGTTCATGGGRGTTGAAGGCACAAAATTCCATACATTTATGCTTCATATGTGTTTTCTTTCCATATCAAAATGAGCCAAGTCTTTTCACTGAAGCCCTTTTGTTGCTGAGGCTACTTCCCCAGGTAAAAATACAGAAAATAGTGGTTATTTATTTATTTGTCACCCCCTGGTTTCCAATTTGGCAATAGCAGAAAAGGTATATGTGTGTATATGTATTTTAAATATAGATACCTAGGTAGGTAGCTTGACTTTGAATAGTTGCTGCATGATTCCCACTACCAGACTCTGGCTTGAAGTGCAGGGCTGCCACAAGGATGTGCCGTGTAGCCCAGGAAGAAATCCAGCAGATCTTTTATCCTTATTGCCTTGCCTCTCTGGGTCACAGGGAAGCAAGAGCCACAGTTCAAGACTGTGTTCAAAGGAGAGATGTCAGCCCTGAATTGTTTTCTGGTGAAGGAAGGATGGATAAAATATTAAATGCAGTCTTCTTTTTGCCCTTACCTTTATGTTTCCTGACAAGAATATCGCATTGTGTTTCCATGGTTCTACTAGCAATGTCTTTAAAAGCTGAAGTTTTTCAAAATTATGGAAAAAAATACTGTAATTGTTCAGATTAGAAATCCTTATTATAAATACCAGAATATTTTGTTACAGCTGCTTTGCTGCATGTACTGCTGTGCAGTACAAGGAAGAACGTGCTCTGGAAAGTTAGTCAGTTTGATTTTCATACACCTGCTGCTGCAATTAGTGTAATTTAACACGCAGAAACATTCTGACTTTCCGAGCAGTAGGGGAGCTTGTCCATGAAAATTTCCTTAGGTATGCTTTTATTTATTTATTTATTTATTTATTTATTTTTAAAGAAAGAGGTGTGTCAGTCTCCTTGGCAATAGCCTTCAAATTCTTAGGCAATTTTGGTCAGATCTAATGGAGGGAGCGAGAAAGGAGAAAGAGGGAGTCGGGAGCTCCTGGCTGAATTTTAAGTCCCTACAACTTCCATGGACGTTATTGGCCTGGGAGCAGGAGCGAGAGGCCGTTAGTACTTCAAGGAAGGAGGAGGCTGCAGTGGGAGCCCGCAGCACTGGGGTAAGTTTGGCTGGGGCTGGTGAGCACCCCGGTGCGGGACCAGCACCCCAGGGTGCTTCGGAGACTGCTTGGGAGCTGTGGGGAGCCTTGGGATATGGGTAGGGTGCTCCAGTGGGCTGAGGATGGGTCTGCAGGAGGTGGGGGGTCGTGAAGGGTTTGCAGAGGAGCTGTGCTTGTAGTGGTGCTCATTACTGCAGAAATATGTAAGAAATTGGGCTCCATTAGTCCCCRTGTTCCCAGGCCTGTTTGTTTGAATTGCAACCCCATCACCATGGAGCAAACGTGGTTCTTGGGCAGGTTGCTGCGTGTTTACCTGGCAATCCAGCCAGTCTTTGGCTGGTGTTTCATTTGAGCCATTTTTACTTTGCTTGCCCACTGACACAATTTCCCTCGTAGAAGACAGCCATAAAAATGGCAGACAAGCTGAGATGGGTGGCCCAGCTCTTGTCACACCTGAGATAAGTTCAGAACAGCTTCAAAATGGGCTAGCTCAACTAACAGCCGCTCCGCTGCTGCTGCTTGAGCTGTAATCTCAGTTTAAGCTGCTTTTGTGGGTTGAATTGTGCTCCACCGTCCCATGCTGTTACCTAAAATCTGTACRTTATATATGCATCAGCTGTGTGTACGAGCAGGGAACGGAAGGCCACGCGAGCTGGCACGCTCGGATCCTGGCGGCGCGGACGGATGTGTGTGTTAAATGTTTGTCTGGTTTGGAATGTGAGTTAAAATTCCCCTGGGTTATAAATAGGAGTTCAGTGATAGGAAAACTTGTATGGATGTCTGTGTGAGTGGGTGGATTTGGTAAGGGCTTGGGAGGGCAGGCATGGAAGCAGAGGATGTAACAATTTACCCTCCTATATGTGTTTATTAGAGCTTTTATCTTTGTAACTCCKGTCGGTTGCCATAGATACAGTCAAYATGGCACTTGTTGGCCTTAATGAAAAGCCTGCCATGCTGATTAACAAATGGGACTTTTCATAAGACAAATCTGCGTTACTTCAGTGCTATTGTTTGTGGCAATTAATTTTAACTATGCCAGTATTCATGTGTATATGTGTGTATRTATATCTGTGTGTGTATGTATGTATGTATATATCAAGTGCTGTTTAGTAGTGTGCTTGTCGTATAGCATATTGCCGAATAATGCTAAGAACATTGCAGGACCAAGCAAATCTGTCTTAATTTAAACTGGATGTTATATTGACAATATAAATTATTGTGCAGTGAGTTTAAACATGCCTTTTCCACCTTGCAGAACCGAGCTAAGGATGTTGTCTCGTGACCGATTGCCTCCTGGCTTCTGTTGCGAGTGTCCACAGCTGAATGGGTTAGGATGTCGCATTAACTACCCCAGYGACACGAATGAGCTCCTCCTACCCAGGAGGGCAGTACTGCAAGTGATGAATGGGATGAATGGGATTTCTCTCATCTTCCTTACAGTTACTTTGTCCGACAAATAGAGAGCAAGTATTTGCTGTATGTGTACCTCAACTCATTATAGATATGACTCTGCATGAAGAAAATATTAGAAAACTAATCAGCTTTTCAAGTAATATTTAGAATGAAGTTTTTTAAGAGGTTTTTGGCATGAGTTTAAGATGGCCACGTTTCTGACAGCCCATTTGTCAGAGCTCAGGAACTGTAATCGGCGTGGATCTGAGTGAAGGGCAGGGAGAGAGATTTGCCGTGCAGGAAACTGAAGAAAAAAAATATTTTTGAGTTGGGTTATTTAAAATAAATAAGGATGGTGCTTCCTTAAAGAGCTGGAAAGASCATCAACAGCCCTGGCAAATGGATGAGTGGTTGGAGTGCAGGTGAGAGACAGTGTAAGGTGGGATGTTGTTCCAGACCTGTGGAAAATAAAGAGTAGGTGTTGAAATGAAGCTGTCTTTTTGAGGAATGCAAAAAGCATTTTGGCATAAAGGGTGAATTCTGAGCACCACTGAATATATGGATCGTGCATTGGGAATGTCTGGCTCCAGCATGGATGAACAACCCTTCCAGCTGCAGCACGTGGTCCTCCTGCGAGCGGTGAGGTTAGGTGGTAAATCAATTAATCTATTAACAAAATCTACTCTGTACCGGAGAACAGAATCCCCAAGATCAAATGCTGCACGGTGCGAAGGTTGGGGCCTCCTCGCTCGCCTCCGAGCGTAACCACCTTCCTCGCTGCATTAAGCCCTTTGCGCCGCGGCTGTCAGAGAGCAGCCCTTGCCCTGCTGCCCTAACGGAAAGATCACGGATAGGAGGAGTAACCCGGGAGGTCTCGCTCTGCGCAGCCCCTGCCACGCGGAGGGAAGGCAGCGTTATGTCTTACTCAGGATATTCCCTATATATTGCATTTCCCCTGAGATCCTCCAGTAGGAAATTATGCCTAACTGTATTTTTAATTGCTGGAATCAGTGTCTTAGAATATATATTTCCGGGAGAAAAAAGGTAGGTCATTAAAAGCAGTAGTAAGTAAAATTGGGGTTATAAATTTTGACGAATTTGCTAGAAGTCTTAGAGATTTGAAAAATAATGTAAGTCTTCTTAGACATTAAAAAAAATGCTTTTGAAGTTAGAACATCTTATTTTGTTACTAGTCAATAAAAGTGGTGCTTTCCTGAAGACTCCTGAAGAAGTCTTTATCAGTGTATCAGGTTCCTACTCTAAACTCAACAAGACAGCAGCCAGTCTGTAAATTGAGTGCATTAAGTTTCTAGATACTCAGATCTGAGTCTTCTCAGGTCCAATCAAGAACTGAGACATAAAGTTTAAGGGTTTTTTTCTATATATAGAGATGTATATGTATGTTCTATATGTGTGTATATATAAAAGATTTAGCATAGCTTTAGAAAAATGTAATGGTGAGGTTTGTCTGCATCATCAAACACTGTGTGAGGCTTCCCTGTGATTTCTTCTGTTTTCTGTGTATTTCCCCCCTCGCGGGTGAGGACGGGCTGTGTGACCAGGCAGGGTGTTCAGGAGAGCAGCCCACGCCGGCCGCCACCTCCTTCATTCCCCGCSGGGAAGGACTCGGGTGCCCCGGAGCTGCGGCGGCAGCCCCGGACCCGGGACAGGGACACAACAGGCCTGCGCACACCTTTCATATGCCGAAGATGGCTTTGCCTTCCGCAAGTAGTCCCTGTTCTAAAACAGCCGCTTGACATGAATGATAAAATAAATCTATGGTTAACGTGACTGCAGCGGGAAAAATAGGCAGGCTGTTTTTGCCAAGTTGTGAATAATCGAGGTCTGGTCTCACCAGCGTGTTCTCCCCAGAGCTCCTTCGCTCAGGGTAAATCGGTGAGGCTCAGAATAGGCCAAGTCCCATGCAGAGCTTTCAGGATTAGGCTCACGAAAATCGGTTTAAGTTTCTTAATCCTGCAGTTGGAGGAAACTCTTCTACCATTTCAGGCCTTTGACTTTGCTGTGTTTCCTTTGCAGGGCCTCGGGATGTCTGGTGGAAGTCAGGCTGGCCTGGGGACTCCTTCATCCAGGCAGTATGCACGACAGAAAATAACTCGTGTAAACCTCAGGGACTTCATCTTCTACATGGAACAGGAAAGAGAAACGAGCCATTCTCTCCTGCTCTATCGAGCTCTGCTTAAATAAAGCCAAGAATTGTACTGATATCTCTCCATACAGAAGCTCAGTTTGCATTGAAAAGCTGTCATTTTAATGTGCCTTCTATTTTTTTCAGAAGTCGATGTTTCTGTAGTTTGTTTTGCAAAATTGTCAGACACATGCAATAAATTCCCTTTATGTAATTTTTTTTAAATGTGCAAAAGGTTTTAAAATGTTAAATTCACAAATATAATTATTTTCCAAGTCTTACTCCATTTGGCCATTTTGAATGAGGTTAAAATAGACAACATGGAAATTATACCAATGGAAAGACTGTCTGCAATGGCTTGCAAAAAAACATCTTACTCTGAGACAGACTGGGATGGGCTCACAGCACTGGGATCCAACCATGGGGGTAACTTATAYATTCACTTATGGTGCTGGGTTTCTTTTCTTTACGTTTCACTGGCACTGTTTCCACTGACTAACCATGGTGATACCTGTTGTTATTTTTAGATTAGTTAAAATTGCATTTTTTTGCACAGCTAAAAGAATAGCCACTGCACACTCCACAAATTTTATGTATTTAGGATTTTTGCTCTTACTGCACAGCTCATTTCCTGAGCCATTTGCTGAACCAAATCCTGAGTGTGTGAAATCTGTGCATTAGGATCCCGGCTGAGTTATCCTGACCAGCTTCCAGGTGTTCTCTAAACCTACCCAACCTTTTGCACATTTGTAGCAGCTGGTGAGTAACACGAATCAAAGTTGGGTTTTATTTTCTAAAAGTATCTTAATTTATTTATTGCAAAGAGTATGATTTAATGATGGTTTTAAAAGAGAGTATTGCTCAGTAAAGATTTTAGAGTATTCTATGGGGATTTTTAGAGTCACTGTGAAAGAAGGCACCAGGACCGCAGGCGTCCCGCGAGCCGCGCTCAGCGCCGGGTCCTGCRGCGGCAACTTTGCCCCGGCTCGTTGCACCTGGGGGCTCCAGTGCAGAGAGGCTCCTAAACAAGTGCACGACGCTTGGGGTTTAAGCATATGGGTGGGTTTAAGCACTTAAAGGAGGAATGAATGCTTTATAAATGCTTTGCTGAATTGGAATTTAAGGGGCTCTCACCGAAGCCAAGCAAAGTGTGAGTCTTTTAAATGGGCTAGGAGTATGAAGCAAGAAGGTGGGCACAAAAATAACAGTATTATCAGTAACCGCGGAAGGGAGACATTGCTTATTTATCTTTTTGATTTTTACTATGTTATGCTTGCCACTTTTTTGAGGCAATTTTTTTTTTTTGATGGGAAACCAYAGCGAAAGCACAAATAGAACTATTTGTCCAATAGTTTTAAAAACAAAAGTTTTAATTATTTTTTAAGGTTTATGAAAAGCAGAAGAAAATTTATACTGCTGCTATTTAGCCAAAAGATTATTCATAAGGTATTTAAGGCCAGGAAGTGTAAAATTATGTTTTAAATGTATTGATAATTTGTACATATTGTTTATAAAGGCCTTGTGTTTATTAGAATTACGTTATTTTGATGATTTCTGTACATACTCGTAAATACCCCCAATTTGTGTGAAAACATACTCCCTTATTTGTACTTATTTTGTAAAGAAATAAAACAATTTACTAAAGTAACACATCGAGTGACATACAGTATTAATTTATCAAACATGAATTTCACATTGTCTTGTAGTTCTTCAGCACTGTTCAGAAACATTTTGCATTAAAATATTAACAGAATACCCACAAAGAAATATTAAAACCAAATACTTCAATGTTTTGTTGTGCTGATTCTTATCCTTTGTCAAACATCTAATAAAATTGTCAACAAACCTTGATGCTATTAATACAGCGAATGAATGCACTCAACAGTTGCTTTCCAAGCCAGCTTAGTCCAATGAGCACAACATAACATTCCTCGTTTCACTTTTTTGTGAGGCTGGGGAGCACAGGCGGGTAACAGGGTTGTGGGGAAAGTGCTAGAGAAGACGGGCGCTCTCCAAACCACAGTTTTGGTGCTCAGCACAAGAGAATTGCAACGATTTGGGTCAATAGAAATAAGTTAAAAAACAAACTATGTTTCCTTTTTGGCCTTCATAATAAAGACATCGGCCTCCTGCGCACCACAGTTTTACTGGAGTTTCGATGGTATTTTAAAACCCGTTTTAGCGACACTGAGCAATGTTCTTAATTAAGTTACGTTGCTATGGTTTAAGGCCAGAAGTAAAAATTCAAATCAGTTTTTGCTGATATTGCTGCTTAAGAATATAGGGAAATAAGTAAAAAAGATGCAAACGAAACTGTAATAAACTTTAAATAAGTGACCCGAAGTTACTAACTAAAAGAACATGTCCTAGCTTTACTTTTCTTTTTTTAAAGGCATATTTCTTTTAACGAAGTGATTGTTTCCACATGTCCCGCTCGCCCGGCACTGCTCTGCAGCTYGTGCCATGAGCTCCGGGCTCAAACCTTCCCGGGAGCTCCCCAGCCTGCGGACGCGGCGCCGCCACCTCGCCCTGCGGCCGTAAGTACCGGGGCAGCCTTACTGAGCTCTGAGAAGAAAGGGGAGACCCCAAAGTGAGGAACCGCAGCCCCGCGGGGCCCGGGCCTCCCGGCTCCCCAGGTGCCTCATCGGAGGGGCTCGCCGGCCGGGCCCGCTCCCCACACGGGATGTGGCGCCAGGGGAGGCTTCGCCTGGGTGCAGCGGCAGAATCGGGCCCGTGTTTGGGGCACGGAGGTGAYGCAGCCGCCACCTCGGTCACCTTGGCACCTCTGTGCCCTGGCCGAGCGCCAGCACAGTGCACAGCCCTGCGGAGCCTCCCGTCCCCTCYGGGTGCGGGATGAAGTGAACGTAGGAAATGACCCAGCAGCTACGYGGATTATTTGAGGATATTTCGAACTGAAAGTGAACTCCATGTAGGAAAGTAATAAATAAAATGCTTCTTTTTTCTCCCCTCTGTAAGACAGGGCCACATCGAGCTGGCTGGAGCAGAAGGCCGGAGGAGACGTGACCAACGCTTCTCGCCTCTCCCACACCAGGCAGATTCAGTGAGTGTGCCACCCTACTTGCTTATTTTTGATCCTTTACTTTACAGAAATGTTTATGGCATGACGTACTGTATAAGAAATGTGCATACACAAATACATGACAATTATACGTTAAGTTCTTTACAATATTAAATGTATAATATACAATTCTACAGATATCTTACATACAAAGGTGAATGCTGTGCCATATATTCAAATATGGCAATACCTAGCAACTTTAGTGTCATACAAGTATAAAACCACAAAATAAAATAACTTTACAACTCTTTTAAAGTAGACAGATTTGCTCAACTGTTCTGCTAAATTAGCAGGCCAATACACATAGGCTAACGTTTTCACGAGAGATTTGGAATTTGGGAATCCAAGCTGAGCTAACCGCAGAGGTCGGAATTTCCAGGGCAGGTATCCAGCACTTCTCCAAAAACGAGACCTCTGCACAGGCTGCACCTTGGCCACTCAGTACAGCTCATCACTTCAGAACACTTGGATTGTTATTTTTGCCTAATCATAATCATTTCGGCATTTAAGAATTGTTGACCATTTAATACTCTGTCCCTTGTTCTGTATGGCCATATTTATGCATCTAAAAAAGAGTTTAATTAAAATTCAGCATCTACAACAGTATTCTATAAATTAATGTGGGAGAAACAAAATTGTGATTAACATATGAATTAGTTATTGAGGACCCAATCATGCTAAACAGCAACAAACAGGACTTGGCAGAATGCTATTTATAACCTTGCACCTGCAAACGTGGTGCTGTCTCCTGAGTTAGGAAGCCCTGCGAGTCGGAAGAGTCGATACTGATTCATGGAAGGAACAGTAACCTCCTGCAGACATCAGGCTTCTTTAAAGAGAAAATTACACAGGAAGAGGGCAGCTACAGAATCAGGATTTTAATGCTAGTTTATAAAATAATAGAGGAAAAACAATCTAAACAAAAACGTGGCCTGCTTTCATCAGACAAGGGAAGGGGGAGGGTTTTAACGGCCTTTTGTAAAAAAATCCAGACCTATAAAGAGTTGGGTTGTCCAAAATTCTTAACGYTTCCTCCTAAGCATGGGCCATGAGTAACAAGGGGTAGCAGAGCTTAGCAGAACCACGCTTCTTAGATGATGCAAAACTGACAATTTCTGAGTCAAAAGAAGACTGGCTTTAAGAGAACTACAGCTCCATGTGAGGCATGTGGCCACTGGATGATGGTAGATGGCATTTTATTTTGTGCTTCCAGATCCCTACTGTTGCAAATACTGGCCATCATTGACCTTGTCAAAATTTTTGTTGCTTTTTGTTTGTTTGTTTTAAAGTACTGAGCACCAGTTGACTATAAATCGGTCCTTTTCTGATTCTGGATTCTGTCCATAGAGATTTCAGCTGGAAATGTTGTATAAAAATAAGCCATTTGCTAGCGTGAGTACAATCACAGAAGTGTGATGCAACGTGTGGAGGTGCAAAGCACATCTGCTAGGAAGGGTGTGCGGTCAGGGAGGATTCTCGGTGCAGTTTTTAGTGTCTCCTCTTCCTTGGGGTGGCCTCCGCTTCCTGCCGTCGGCAGTGGCTGTGGGGGCGGCTGTCACTGGAAACGCTGTCAGATTCGGTTCTCCTCCTGCTAAATTCAAATTGCTTTAATTGGTCTTTCTGCAGAAGTCCCGGCTCGGGTCAGGACTGCGCTGGAGCTTCTCCTTTGCCACCACCGCAGCTGTGGAGCTGCCAGCACGTTCCCACAGAGCCCGGCGCGCCGAGCGCGCCCGGCACTTCCATCGTGAGAAAGGGACACCGGGTTTCCCGAATGCATTTCATGGCTGGCTATGTGACAGGTAGTTTCAGAATACCACTAATTGGCAACATAAAGTCAAAATCTGTTTGCTAATACTGTTTTGCAAATCCTTAGTGTTTCACATAAGGGGCTATTAAACACTTCTACGGTTACAAAGGAGTGAGGGTGGGTTCTAGTCCAGGGGCTCCTGTTTTATTCTGATCGTTGGAGTAGGCTGTGGCCGTCTGTCCTCGCGACACAGCACGTACTCGCTGAACTGGGAGGAATCCACCCCGCCACCACAGGAGGCTGCCACGTTAAACCCCTTCTGAAATAATCTTTCAAGCACCTGCAATGTGGGGAAAAAAAAATCAGATTAATATTTAGAAAATTCTAGTGATAAAAGCAACTGAATCTAAATGATGGATTTGGTCTTTTGAGTCCTCACAGAATGAATATTATTCAGCTATAATTCTATAACTTATTCTTAAATGACTACACTGTGATTAAAGTCTTGCTCACAGCAAACCTCTGCAGAAAACAAAAATTAATCAAACAAATAAGCAGTCTACAGAGCAGCCTAGTACATTATAGAGTAAAATACTGGACTGCAGTGATATCGATGCTATCTCTTACTGGAAAGCAACACTAGGTTTAAGACATAATAAAATATGTCTGTTATTCATTATTAATGTGAGCAGAACACATTTCTGAGCTGGAAACATTTCTGACRTGTTGGTTAGCAGATGTAGGTATGGTGGGAAGCTGAGTGGCACTTCCATGAGGTGTTCACRAAACTGCAGCTGTGATCCTTCCTTGCCGGAAGGTGAGCTGCTCTGGAAGAGCAGGGAGCCAAGACGGGGACACTAAGCAAGGAAACTGGCCCAGGAAAGAGGTCAATCTGCGTTGCCCAAATGTATTTTTYCTTCCTCCTCCTGAAGAAAAGTTGGTGCAAATAGATGTGTGAGTTTAAGGAGCGCAGAGGCACCTGTAATTCCAGTGACTGTCCCAGCCGTGCCAGCCAAGGGCCCGTGGATGTGGGCGCCAGCGGAGCAGGAGGCCGGCGGGTTTGCCCAGCGCTCGGGGGTCCCCGCCGGCCGCGCTGACAGCCAAGAGCGAGCGCGGAGCTGAGGACCCTGCGCAGGAGATGCCCGATGGCTGCCCCCGCTCCGGTGAGTCCCGGCGGAAGCGCTCGGGCTGCAGGGATGTGTGGGACGGTGAGAAAAGACCCTGAGGCACTTCCCTATGTGCCCTTGGGAGCTCCGGTGATCCCTGTGTATCACCACTGGGTAGCGGATTTGGAAAGGTGCTCTTGTCTATTGCACTCCATGGTTGTATAGTGGGGTAAACTGGTTATATATGGCAGAGCATAAGGAGACGTACATTTTAGGACAGGCTAAATAACCCTAATCTTCACACCCTCGTATGAGATCTGCATCCAAAACTCCCTCCACCAATCCTTCCAGTCCTTTTCCAGAGACCCCTGTAGGGAGCTAATCCACAGATCAATGCTAATAATGCTGTAGCGTGTAACAGCAAAATCACACCCGGCCTGTAATGTGTATGATTAGAGGAGCTGACCCACTATTTAYGTTACAGGCAAGAAAAGCTTCCTGCCTTTTTCTCTACTGATAAATGTCAACAAGAACAAGCAGATTCAGAGCACATATGAGCCTTGCTGAAACATCCCCCATCGCTGCATCACGTGGGCCCCCCACCCAGGAGAGCAAACCTGGCCGCRCGTGGTGCCTTCAGCATCACTCATGCTCTTTCAGGATGGGTTTGCTTGCAACTCAGGACTATGTGGACTAAGCTATTCAAAAGCTGATTCRCTCAACTCAGATATGTGTCTAAGCAACATACCACAGTCAGAAGGCAAAAACTCACCCATTCTTCCTCGTGGGTTTATGATAAAGAATTTTGTTTGTTTCTTGGATTTACCACCAGTGACACTATCAAGCACCTTAGTAGTCACCCCTACTGCAGTGGTTCTTAAAAACCTTATGCTTTAAGGCACAGGCTGATTACTAGAGGGGGGACTGAAAACAGGGCCACRTGTTGAAGATTTGCACAGCAGACCTCTGCTCTGGCCCCTGCACGTGCTGACCAACGTTAATGCCAGGGTGCATTTCTTTAGTGCCCTGTTTCTTTTGGCTTTGCTTCTTYCCAAAAGAGCAGTTTGGGGCCTTTATTAAGGGTAACGGATCTGAAAAGGAAAACTGAATGCAAGGTAGTATTGTAGTGCAATGTAATCCACAATAATATTTTCTATTTTTAATCTATGGGAACCTTCCTTTGAAGTCTCGTGTTTTAGCCACCTTCATTTCAATCAGTGGTTTAGGTCTCTAGTGGTAACTAAAAACTTGTACTTGCTGCCCTGGCTCCTCAGGAGAGGCATTAAAAGGGAATGCTCCAGCGCAGCTTTGCCTAAGCCAGGCACAGTCTGCTCCGCGTCAGCCTGCCCTGCGCGCTCGGCCTGGCCTTGGGACAAAGGGACTTGTGTTCTCACAAAGTTACATCTGCCAAATCTCACTGACTTTTGCCCTGATTTTTATATAGCTTAGACTGTAAAAAAGTTGTAGAACTGAAAGGGAGAAAGCTACCCCAGTGTGTGGAAGAAAAATAAACCTGAAAAGATTAAAAGACACACAGGGAGTAGATTTTTTTAATATATAAAAGCCTTCTCCTTTTATATGTGCGTGTATATATATACACACATATATATGTACATTTATATATATAATATACACACACACACATTTATATATAGATACAGATTTAAAAGCTTAAAAGAAAAAAAAAAGGAGAAAATCTTAACAGCCTGTGATTTGTGTGTGCTCCACATAGCCTCAAGGACAGTGACGGGCCACCAGGCCCAGGCTGTGGCAACGCTTGTTCCTGCTAAGAGGGACGGCAGGACTCCGGTCAGACATCACCAAACTGCTGCTTCACAGGCTGCAGCCCGTGTGTTTTGTTGTGGATCCCTGTTCTCGGGCTAGGCAGGATGAAGATGGAGTCAGTCCGGCCACGGCAATGGAGGCATCTGCCATTTAACTGGATGCAGAAACACCGGGTTGACAGGTAAAAACCTCAGAGAGAGACCCAGCTCCAAAACCTTGCTAAAAACTTTAGAAAATCTATTTGCTTGTAAGGCAAAACAAGCATGGGGGTGCCCCTGACTTGCCTCAGCTGCAAGCTATGGAAGGCTGCAGGTTAACTCAGGGCTTCCCTTTCCTGAGCAGCTCTCCCCATCCACGCAGTGCAGTGGATACAGCCGTGCATTTTTCCTCCCTCTGTGCTCAAAGGGCCAGGCTGCAGGCTATGATCTAGTGTTAACAACCTAGACATCATCAATTTTCTGAGCAAGAGGCAAACGAGTRAAATCCTGTAAACAAGGCTGAGACGTTGCAGTATTGCTCATTTTCAAGCGTGACTGGCATGAGGTTGTGCCCTGCTCTATGACAGAGGCCTCCCAAGGGCCGTGCTGGCCGCGGTCGTCGTGCCCGTCCGTGCAGGCCAAGGCGGCGCGTGGGACGGGAACGGACTCAGTTCCCTGTGGTGAGTTGGGCCCTGCGTGCCTTACGGCTTTCAAAGGTAACACATACAAACACAGAGACKTTCTAAGTGTCTAGGAATAAAATCAGAGCTACTTTGCTGTAAAGCTCCAAAGAGAATATGCCAAAAAGTAAATGAATCTCAGCTGTGACTTTTATATATAGGGAGACACACACACAATATTAAATAGTGGATTTATGCTAAGATTTAATATACTCTGCCTTCCACTGTTCTAACCACATGGAGATCTGGGCTYTGATTTTGTTGGAAGGCTTTCCAAACAGAAACATGATACTTTCATTTAATGCATTTCATTTAAATTTCACAGAATATTAACAAATATAGTCTTAATTACAAAGAATGTTCAAGATAAACACGTCACACAATTTTCTCTAGGTATGTTCACGTGTCTCATCAGACCCTGCTGTGAGGAGTTGAAAAAACAATCTCAGTCTTAAGAAAACTCTGTACCCATATGAAATTACAACGAGGCATTGACTGAGGGCTGTTGTTTTTCTGCCTGCCGCTGCCCACTGTAGTTGCCATTCTCTGTTTTATGTGTACAGTTTCTGACATAAAGCATTTTATGAAAAAAATGTAAGAGTCAATTTATAAATACCGCAGTTGTGCTTCTAAATACACTATGCAGAGCACCAGGGACAAAAGTATTTCAGTAGAAAGCAGGCAGCCTCATCAAGACACGCTTGGAGCTTCTTTAGAAACTACTCTACTCTCCTGATTCCAAGGCCTCCAGATCCATCTTCCTTACACCTCTGCATTAAAATCCATGTACTGCCAACTTCTGCCTTACCATRGTTTTGCCAAAAGTATTGGGAAAGGGAAGTGCAATTCCTGTGCGCTGAGCAGGGTCCATCAGAGCCCATGAACAATTAGCTGCTGGTTGCATCAGTCTTATTTAGACTATAGACTACTTTGGTATAAAAAATTGCTTTGCACAGCGTGAACCGATACAAAGGGGCTCTTTGCTACTGGTAGAATTTTGAGTGAGTTCTAGTTGGRGTCAAGACACATCTCCTTTCTCCCCAACAGGGGTGAATTCATCACTGTTCCCAGTCTCAGCATGTGGACCTGCTTCTGACCCACCTCCAGAGTCTTCTACTTTTGGGGTAGTCCTGTCTAAACGTCGCCAAATGTGAAACTGCCAAAGACTGCACAGAATTAACCACAGGCTTTGGGCTGGTAAGTTAACCAAACAAAAGTAGAGTTGTCAACCTTCAACCAGAAGTTCACCCAAAATAGCTGATTTTCAGTCTGGTTTCAAGCAAAAGCTTCTACTAGTATGCAATGGGTTGGTGAATGCTGCTGTCCCAAGGAAAAAGGCTGCCAGTGTCAAATGTGGGTTGGCAGAACTACTCATCCTCCTTTGCCTGTCCTGGTTGGCAGGGGAGCTCCTGGAAATGTTCCCACCTGGAGCTTGAGAGATGCAGGGAGTCTCAGTCCAGCTGCAGAGCAAATAGAGACAAGGGGCAYGGAAAGCAGGTCCAGGCTGCCCTGCTCTTCTGCCTCCCTCCTGAGCCTGTCTGGCCAGGCTGTCTCCTGAGCCAGCTCTTTGGCGGATATTTTCCCCCGGGGAAGTTCACCAGGACCGCTTAGTCATTTCCCACAGCCCACTTAGCAGCTCTGTAGGTGACAGTAATTTTGGAAATATTTCCCTATGGGTCAGAAGGTCTCACTTTCCCTAGTACACGTATTATTTGTAAGGTGAACATGCAAAAACCAAAAGCTCTGGGTTTTGCCCTGGTTAATTACAGCACAAGTTAACAGCATCATCAACATAGTTCCCTCTACTCAGCCCAAAGACAGCTACAACAGCAAAGCTTTGGCCACAGTGGTTGTGATCCCTTGTGAAATGCCATTTCTTGTCCATAAGGCTCACTAAACACAAGTTATTTATTTATTTCTGCTTCCATCCACCTATCTGTCCAGTTATCCTCCTTTGTTTCATATGTTTAATTTTAAACCTAATGTCAAAACTCTGAGTATAAAATGAAATACATTTTGTTTAAAATACTCTGGGCAATTTTTATAGAACATCCTTTTGAAAAAAAAAAAGTGCAGAGATCAATTTTTTTAAGTCCATCCCGCAGGCACCATCATTTAATTATGAGTGAGACATAAATTATGCATTTACACATTGTTGCATTTTCTATAAAATGGTGTGGAGATTTTTTTTTTTGTAGTTTTTGGAACTCTCTCTTTCTTCCTGGGGGCACTTTAGAGGAAAAAAAACTGCTGCAGGCTATACATTGATGAAAAAATTAGCATTTATCAGTATAACACCATTATGAGACCAGCATGGCACTAACATACACAAAATCTAAATCTATTTTTCTGCTTAGACTTAGCAAAACCTGAAAGACTGTGATCTCACCAGGCAGAAAATGTCTCCTTGCAATATGAGAACTGAAGGTAATTGGGCAGAAGCAAATAATTTGCATATAATTGAACATGAAATACAAAAAAAAAAAAAAAAAAGACAAGAGAGAGCACTGAAATGGCATTACCTGCACTGAGTTCAACCGGCAGTATCCGTTCAAAGGAAACCTAATAACGTGGGTAGGGTCTTGGTTCCAACCGGCGTTTACGGAGTTGCACATGACGTCCCCCGTCTCCGGGAAGATCTCTTCTATTAAAGCCTTCTCCCCACTCAATGCAATTCTTTCCCCCAGATCTGGAGTCACTCTAACGACCAAGCAGTCACAAGGCTGGAAATGTTTCCTTTGTTCTTTCTCTTGTTTCCATCGCTCGAGTTCCTTAATCATTGGCTGCAGCTGGTAATACTTTGCTTCTTCATATAAAAGATTAAAGTCCTGAAAAAGTAAAAAAAAAGAGAGAGCAGGAGAAGAGAGAAAAACTAGAAATGCTTATAGTTCTCTTTTAAAAATGAGCATTGTGCCTGTTTGACCTACTTAGGCTTATGTATTGTCAGCAAGAGTGCAAAGGCAACAGGTATCCACATACTTTGTCTCTGTCTTACACCTACACAGAAAACCACACTCTGTCAGTGTTGAATTTATTTGAGCTGACCATGACTTTCCCATTGCATTGCATTATTCTTTCATTTATTATCCCACAAGCTCGATGCCAGAAGGCTTTACTTTTGGATTAAGAAATCAAAATAACTGGTTGCAATAAGTAAAGCCTGCTGATGTAAGAGAAGATGTCTTGAGCCTTAATCTTCACTCTTGGCATAGATTTTACAACARAAAATCTTGGACTTTGTTGTCACTTCTCCCATTCATGTTGTGAGGCAGAGATGCCTCTCCAGCTTCTCTCTTTTCCTCTGTCTTTGCTGAGTTCAAATTTCAACTGCAGAAGCTCAGCTGGAAAAACTCCCTTGTGTTTTCATGATTGTTCTTGCGTTTAAACATATTTTGGAGCCTGATAAATTTGACGAATGCAGTGACCGTATGAATGGCTGGGAGCCCAGCTGTGCGCTCTGACAACTTCTAAGAAACAGTTCTTTCCAGACATTTGTCCTAACTTGGGCCYTTGGGCAACTCAAGTTTCCAATTTGATTGAATTCTCAGTTAATTGATAAAGATGTCTCCTGCACATGCTCGTTAATAACCTTTCATCAAAYTTCCAATGGATTTTCCCACCTCAGTTTAAACATGAGAGCACCTTGAGGAAAAGGGTGTCATGAGCCCTCCAAAGTCAAAAGAGCAGCAGTGCCCGTCAGTGCACGTGCTGGGCCAGAGAAACCAGAGCCTGAGAAGCACCTGGGGCTGGTTTGCTACCACCTGCCTCCCTGCCTTCTTCAGGTTCCTGAACGCAGAAGGAGCTGCAGAAGTAGCACCCCAGCACCCATCTGGCCCCACAACCCGTCCATGCAGAGCTGCAGCTCATTTCCAGGGACATAAATTATCCTAATAGAGAAATTAATGGAATTATGGATAAAAAGAAAAGAATGAAGAGAAGTTATCAACAAATGGGCACCCAAAATTACAAGTGCAGTGCCTCTGCAMTAGGACTCAGGGTAAAAGGACAATCTAAGACTATTGAACATACAGTGCAAAAAAAAAGGTGCTCCTTTCACAGCAGCATGGAATTAACCTGTAAAATCTGCTGCTGTGGGATCTTATTGAACTAAAGCAGTTAGCTGTGTTCAAATTTGGCACTACAGACCCACCACTGATAGCGGAGAGGTGCTTGTTCACCCCGGGGCTGCCTACAGCCTAGAGATATATGAATATTAACAACGACACCAGCAAGGTTATCGCATTACAAAAGGGACATCTGATCCTCTGCATCCCTTTGATGTCTTCTAGGGTTGGGACAATATGCACACCACTTGGGGAGAAGAAAGGACTGGAGAATGCAACTGAAGAGTGATAAGAGAAGTCAGAAGAAAGGAGGGCAACAAACACCCAGGAGAAGGAAGCCAGAAGATGAAAATCAATAGGAAGATTAAAGAAGAAGCTATGCGGAAAACAGGCTGCAAACACTGGAGGTAGGAATGAGGCAGCTGCAAGAGCCACGGCGGCGGCTCCGTGTTCTGCTCCCAGGTACGAGGCCTCCATTCCCGGCCTGCTAGTCTAGGCTGAGGACAGCTGCCCCTCTGCCCAACGGGGCTGAGCTTCTGAAATGAGCCCTGAGCGGGGTGGAAAGTCTGCCACTCTTTCCTGTACGTCCTGTATATCTGCTTTCATGGTCACTATAAAAGGCTATTTGTAAAGGTCAGTCARTTGACTCTGTGCTAAGAAAGTTCTACAGGAAAACCTAGGAGATGGTACAGCCATATAAAAACCAGTCCTTCATTTCTGAAAGGGAACAGAGGTAGGACATTCCTAAGGCAAGATGTAAAGCCCATTAATTCAGTGACTTTTTTTTTCAAGCAACTTCACGAGGCTTTGGACTGGACTAAAAGTATCCAGAATCACAGGAGTTCAATGGTCTCACACCTCCAGGCCAAAATGACAGTAATGTCATAAACCAAACCAAATGAGGATCACACTATCTCTTCCTTCTCCACAGCCATCTATTAGCCCGCAGCATTTAATCCAAGTCCTTAGTAACCATCATTAGTCCTAAAATAAACAAGATAAARTTTAAATACTAATGCTGTTCTTGTGATAAGGCAAACAATCCGTTTTCAAGTGAAAAAGCCCTTCCACAACTGTTTCCAGGAGGATACAGCACACATTTCAGGCTGGTGGGTGGAAAAAAGGAGTTACGGTAAAGCTTCAGGTGCTTTATAGGAGTGAGTATGCACCCCCATACCCACATACTCCAGTCATAACTGCTGGGCTTTCAGCCAACAAGTCTGAGTTTTTAAAATCCAAATTCACCACCACACACAACGCATCTTATCTTCCTTTGGATTTCCCTTCCTGCTTGGGTTCAGCACAAATGTGCCAGAAAAGGTTTTGTATCCAGAGAAAGGGACTTCTGACAAAATTGTTTAGAATCTTTAGAATGTATGTGTAGGGATGGGGCATTTTACAAAAGTGCTAACAAAGAATGACTTAAAGCATGGGGGTAAAATTCTTCATAAAATTTGTGCCTGGGCGTGCAGATGAACTCAACACACTGTTAAAATGCACTGCTTTCTCATGCAGGTCTTACAAACCCCTCGGAGTACTGTGCATCCATGCCCAGCCTGACAGCRATGCCCGTCTCCAATGGTCAGCTCTATGCTTGAGATGTCCAGGTAATACGATATGGATATTCCTACTCTTGCACCTTGCATGTAAAATCCTACTCTGATTTGTAATTATTTAAATCAAGTAGAAAAAAAAAGCTGCAAGGGATCCCTGTGAGGGAGGTGCTGTAGGAGGTACAAGAACTATTTCCGTGCTGGTCACTTTGGTGAGTTGGCAGAGGCAGATGCAGACAAGAAGCTTCCTACGCCTGTCCCGAGCAGACACCTCTCCCCAAAAGAGGGTCAGGTGGTGGCAGGCAAGTGCTGTGCAGAGGCCCGGGGCGCTGTGACGGACGTGCTGGTGCCAGCGGGACCTGTGCCCTGTGCCCAGGGCAGCCCTGCCAAGCAGCAGGCAGCGTCCCGGAGCAGACCCTGCCCAGCGTCCACCAGCTCCTTGTCCTGCAGATGCACTGAGGAATCTCCTGTTTCTCCTAGAGATGAAGTTCCTACTGTCCCATGCTCTCAGGCAGCACCTCGTGGCAGCACAGCCCAGGGCCAAGCACTGCGGATGGCAGCTGACACGTGTTGGAGCAGGGAGCTTAGGAGGTGGCTTCGCTGCGGAGCAGGGCAGATCCCTTCTAGATACAAGGGAGGTGGCCAGTCCGGCCCTGCTCACATATTTAGCATGTGTCCAAGCGTCCCTGCGTGCCTGCGTCCCTCCTACTTATGGTACAGCTTGAACACAAAGCCGCACACACAGCGTAAGGCAAGAACATCTGCAGCAAGAACGTCTCCATCTCTAACATGAAGGAGAGAAGTGCTGCCAGATCACCTGCAAAGGCAGCAGACACCAGGGATGCACACAGTGTCCGTCCATCCGCCGCTTCTGGACAGCATTGAGTTTTCAGAGGAAAGATCAGCAACTCTTTCAAAGACACAGCTTTTTGGCTTTCACACATCTGCTCATGGTTTAGTAGGGTGTTTGTTTGTTTGTAGAGTCAGCTAAGTTTTGTAATCACCCCATGATGGTTGTATCCTCCTGGGGAGGAAGAGGAAGTGTTACTGCAAGCAGCTGTGCTGCTCTGAGGACGTCCATGCCAACGTGTCATTACAGATCTGCCAAAYGCAGGTTAAGAGGGGACTGAGAGAAAATGTCAAGCTATGTCTCCTGTGAACCTGATGCTGAACCTTAGCACTGAAGAGGCTCTTTATTTTTTGTACTTAAAACTGACTCCTCAATTGGCCAAATGGCTCTATCTACCCATTTTTCACTCCTTATGCTTTGTTTATGTGAAACAACAAACTCTCCTCCTGACTCTACATTTATTCTATATTTCAGAGCTGTGAAGATCTGAYTCCTGATAATGACAAAAAGCCGCTCACCTCTATGACTGTGCTGTTTGCTAAGGTAAGTTTAAGAATACCCAATGCAGCTATAGTGATTTTAAAACTGCATTAAGAAAGCAGAGCACTGGTCTTGTGGTTCCAATGTGACAGGTGACCTCTATAGTCAATAGGAAACTCAGACTTCCTGTGCCTTTAGATCCATTCCTCATAAAATATATATGAAAATATGATTGCCTATATCTGCTTTTGTTTGAAGACCTCTAAGGAAGTAATTAATCTCAGATAAATAGCAACGATGTGCAGCATGGTGCTGCTTTTGCTTGAAGATTTGTAATGAAAGTGAATGGGGCAAAAGTTGGTCAGAAGGACCCTGTTGGAAACACCTCTGGTGTTAAGGTAAGGGATAGCTTTGCAAAAGACAGCGGGGCCAAAGAGCTCACGGTAACTTCACATCACACTTTGTGCAGCTTAAACCCCCCAAACCCAAGCAGCCTGTATGGCCCACTGCAGTACTGCTCTCTGGACTGCTCACCTGTCACGTACCAAAGAGTGGCTTTCAAGTTCTAGTTTATTAGTAACTGGAAGAGTAATTAATATTCACTGTAAAGACACCAGCCAGACTTGATGATAAAGAATCACTAGCCTAGGAACACATACCCCATTTTCTCTGCATTTCAGTGTTAACGTAGTCTGAAAACAACACTTAAATAGCAAACACAATAACATTGGTGTGGTAGTAACATTCCAAACTTTTCAAAATAACCATCTGAGCAGCAATTCAAGTTGAAAAGCAACTTGGCTAAACCTTGAGGCTAATAAACTGCTGATTAAATTAAGGGGTAAAAAACTAATAAATATTCAAAACACTTGATAATGCTTTGTTTGACAATGAGAACATTTAATGCAAGTCTCACTGGAAAACCTGTCAGGTTTTATACCTTAAATAGCGTTTTGCATTTAGAAACACCAAGTGATTCCATTTGCAGCCTTTGATTATTGTCTTCTGTCACTTTAATCATGCTGGTAAAATTACAAGATTTCTGTGAAGTCAAATCCGTTTACAATGCAGTTTTAATACAGCTTTGCAGAGCATTCTTCTATGCATTTTTATTTAGTTACTCCCTACCTAGCAATACTTTGCTTTGTTCTCGAGCCCTCATTAGCCTGGGGTTTGCTCTAAAGCTCTCTCGGGGAGGAACTAAATAAAATACAGTTAACCCTATGCAAGAAGCTGGTGTGGAGCAGCGGGCCGAGCGCGGGCACAGAGGCCGGCGCTCCCGCGGTGCTGGCACCCACCGGCCTCCTCCCCTYGGGGCTCTTGCAAATCCTGCTGGGTTCCCTTTGCAGCGCCTCCGAAACCTGCCCTGGTGCTGCCAGCCGAGGCCACCCCATCTCCAGCGAGGCTGCTGGCGCTCCCTCTTCTCATCGCTCCTTGCCACACWGTCCAAAATGCTGCTGCTAAAAGCATCTCTGGCATTTAAATCCATTACTTCACCGCCACCTTTACTTGTTCCTCACAAGAACAGGAGCGTCCTGGTGTTTGCCGAGCTCCTGCCTGTGTGTTTTCTCCCAAACCCCAATTTGCCAAGAGGATCCCCGTTATCCCTATAGTGTATTCACCAAGTCATCCTGGAGCTGGCTCTTTGCTACTGTCTACAGTTGGGGCACTTTTGTCTTCTAATTTTCATACATAAGGATGACACTGCTGCAAGTCTTGTAAGTGCAAAGCCAAGTAAGTCTAGGAGGAGAGCAATTAAGTGATCAGGATTTGCAAAGCAACCCAGTGCCATAATATCATAGAAAACGTGTATTATTCCTGACAGTCTCCCAGTGCCATTATGTCATAGAAAACATGTATTATTCCTTACAGTCTCCTCTGTAAATTCCATTTTTCAAGAATATTCTGCTATTCATAAATTTTGTTAAGATCACTGCTTGAAATGAAAATATCTGCACTGGTTATACCTAACAGAAGTCCTCATGGCTCTCTTTCTGGGTGTTTTATTTTAATATCAACAAGAGAAAGATTTATACAGCTTAATTGCTCTGACCATCAAATTTAAAACATTTCTTTCAGATTCCAAACATTAAACCCTGGTAAGTGCTAGTGCTAGTATTGCTTCTTAATTTTTTGTTATACTCTGGTAAATAAGCTAAAAATGTGAGAAAATACAATTAGTTTAGAAAAACTGATTTAGCCGTAAGCTTCATCATTTAACTTTTTATGGTATCCATGACAACCATTGGTCCATTTATTAAATAATAGCATCCCTAGTGTAACACACAAGTACTAAAAATCCTAACAATAAACAGCAGCACTTAACTAAGTGTGTTTAGGTCAAGCACACAGACCAACCTGCACCAAAATAAATGACAGAATGGAGAGAAAGAGGAAAAAAAAAGTAGGACTTCAGACTGTGGCTTTCCTTACCTTAAAATCATCTGGGAGCAGTAGTTTAGATGTCCTTAGGAAGCTTAATATATATCTGAAAATTTCACCGTCTCGATCAATGAAATAATGTTGTTTTAAACTGTCCAAGACAATAGGCTCTGTGCCATTAAACAGACGACTTATTCTGAAAAAGAAAAGGGGCAAAAGAGACAAAATCTCGTTATACCCTTAGGGCTCAAAAACCTCCAGCCAATTTAGCTACATCAATTCAATGTGCATAAGGCAATTCTGTATCTTCATTTGGTGAGAAACACAAGCACGTGCACCTGGTAGGTGCTTTGCCCCGCGCAGATATGGACACGCCGGCAGCGAGAGCCCTGCGGCTGCTCCGAAAGCCCAAATCCAGGGCGGCAAATGAGGCTCATAACCCAACGGGAGAAACGCCTGGGAAAGCATCGCCTGCGGCCACGCTGGTGTGACAGGGCCTTGGCAGGTACGTCCCGCACCCCGGCGCACGCGGAGCCCATGGGGAGCCGTGCTGCTCTGTGGGATGGGGTGCTGGATGCTGGTGTGTGCACCAGCACAGTGTCTTTTGGATCAAATGCCACCCAAGGGCTTCCCTCTTGCAGAAGCGAGAGACCCGAGGCTGGAGGCAGTGTCAGAATAGCAACCCAGAGACCATGGTAAGTAATGAGCAAGGAAAAGGGAGGGAGACGCACGAGGCTGGGAATGCAGTGGGCACAGCAGACCTCGTCCTATGGGGCTCCCGTGTGCGCAACGGGAAGCAGAGCGGCCACTGGCCAGGCTGCATCCATCCTTCAATCCCGACCCCCGGCTTGCTCCTGAGAGCTGTCTTCCCATGAGAAATAACCCAGCTGAATGTATGTTCTTGAAAGGAAAGTCACAGGAGATGGACAGCAGCGACCTGTTAAGTAATTGAGCCGGTCTCCGGCAGAGCCGCCCTGTTCCCGCGGCCATAGATCTGGTGTTTCCAAGAGGATGCTGTTATTCCCCTGAGAGACCCTTCCGCAGCCCGCGAGGTCCCTCCCCATGGGCACCCACAGCTGGCCCCGCTCCGGCCTCGCGCCCACCGCAGCAGCGCCCTGCTGGCAGCAACTTCCTACTTCAGCTGCAATTTTAATTCATGTGCCACATTTCTGAATTTATTTGGGAGATGTGAAATGAGAATGGACTTTGCAATGTCCCCCTGAGTTCAGCTGAAAAGCCCTCCGTCCTCTTGTGCAAGTCCCACATGTTACTGCCTGCACCTTCCCTCATGTCTGTCTCAGCATTTGGCTGGTTTGATTTACTTATGAGAATAATCAAATGCTTCCCCAAACCCTGATTATAATACATTTACTGCCYTTTCTTCAATGTCTTTCTACTGTATCTGAAAAATGGAATCCAGTTTACTCTGCAACATTTAATTTATATAATCCCAGGCTTCAGTAAGCTTCCAGTAATTCATTATTTTCCTTTTCATTATTACGTTAAGGCTATTTGCCTGAGACAGCTAAATGTATTGCTTTGTGTGGTGTTAAAATTTAGTCCAGGAACCAGAGAGTTAATATATTTCCCTAGACATGCACAGGAGCTCGTGTGCTGTTCTGAGTTGGGCTGAAAACAGAGGTAACACTGATACTGCAACTTAATATTCAGCGCTGTGCATTTACTGAGTAAACTTGCCCAAGTACTGAAAGTTTTGAGAACTGATCTTACACCGAAACAAGACGGGCTGTGGCTTAAACCTCCTCCCCTTCGCAGCCCTTTCTCCGTGAGGTTTGYGAAAGTGATGCAAGGCTGCGGCTCAACTCCTCCAAGCTGTTGGTGCCAGCAGAGAAAGGATGCAGGATACAAAATGTTAATGGACTGTTCTTTAAAGTAGCAAAGCATTTTTTTGGTAATGAAAACAAAACATGAATTTTGAGGCCTTTGTGGAGTGCCCTGAGCTGTATTTCTTCACCAGCAAAATTACTGCTGGGGAAAGAAACTCGCAGAGTGTTGAAAGACTTAACTGCCACCCCAAAAACAGAGTGATGAATAGTTTAAGGATTTATTTGACGTTTTAGGGGGCTGCTATGTTCCAAGAACAAACTTGAGTGCAGTATGTTGTAACCCTGCACGCAAAAAGTGCTCCTGCTTCTCTGTCCTTGCCAATATAACCTCTACCTGTGCAAAGTCAGTTGGTAAACGCAACACCCTGAGAGCACAGAGGGACTCAAGTGACAGGAGAAGGCAGCTTCTACCACAGACTCTGCACCACGGGCGAACTCGGCTGCAAAGCCAAGAAAAAGAGTGTGAAAGCCCCACACCTGGTGCCCATTTGCTCCACAGACAGGTCTCAAGTTGGACGGAATGAAACATCACGTATGGAAGGTGGGAAGCAAAATGTGTGCCRACTGTTCTTTAAGGAAATACTGTGGCATATATAAGTATTAGTGATTTAGGGAAATTTACGGAAACAAGAGTCTGCACGCTGTCTGGAAATTATGAAAACCTTTCGAGTCTTGTACAGGAGTGAACTTGGCTGGGAGCAGATTGAGGCTTAACTGTGCAGCCGTGGGAAGTCACATGCACTGAAGAGGTCCCATGGGCTGTGACATTCTGGTGTCCAGTGTCCCAAAGTGACCACAATCGCAATCCACAGTGTTTGCGCATGCTGGAGAGCAGGCGAAGGCTGCCCAGGATAAGGAAATGGGAATTTCTGGGTTCTGTGCTATTCAGTCAGAAGAAGATAGCGACACTTGGGATGCTCAGCTTAGGTTGGGCTAAACCAGGAGAAACCTCTACCTCTTGCTTATGCCAGGCAGGTGTGATGCGTCCAGCCCGTACGCAGGTGGAAGCCTCAGGAAAGTGAGAGGCAGAAAGCAAAAAGAGCTAAATTTGGATCCTACGGAGGTGGTAAGTCTGAGCAATGAATGCTTCTGCGGTGCTTCTACCTGTTGCAAGAGACACTTCATTTTTTAATATATAAACACTTCCCAAGCTCTTGTCCAAGATTTAATTTCCGGGCAGAGCACACATCACAGCGGGATCAGTCACAACAGTTAAAGGCCTCGGGATCCTGACTTGGCCCTTCCACTGSCTCCACCTCCTGTTGCCAACATTCAGCACGTTCCCAATGTGCTTCAACTTCTCTYTCTAACTTTTCGAAGACAACCTGTTAATGGGAGGCTTCTTGCCTTCAAAAACTCATYGAGCTCCATCCTGGGAGCGAGGGGGCTTCCCGAGCCCCTGTGTATCCTGCAGGATCACCACAGAGCCTGGCCGGGCTGCTGAGGCGCTGTGTGTTGGGCCTGCGAGGCCTACATTGTACCTCAGGATGGGAGAAWTTCATGGGGTTTCTGCCTCCTGTTTGCAGAGCCCAGCTTAGGTATCTTCTGGACAGCCCCAAAAGATGGATAAACGCTCTATTTTTAGCAGAAAGCTCCAACCCGTGCTTACTAAGGCAGTCCCAGTAGTGTCGGCAGAGCRGCCGCCTTTCCTGCCCGGCCCCCGCCTGGTGCCACGTAAGCAAAACTCCGCACCGCGACACTGCGCCAAAAGTATTAATTTAAGTAATTACACGATTAATATTTAACTGTTCACTGATATTTTTGTCATTCATAATTCAGCTGTTTACACTTATTAAAAATTGATTCTGTAGACATTTTTCCTGCCCAATGTCAAATCAGCAGGGAACGTGCACTTTAGAAAACTGTCAGGAAAACGTGTCTTTTTTTTTTTTGTTCCCCAGTGTCACCAGAGGTGCAGGAGAAGGACACGTGTCCCCACTCGCTCCGTCCTCGCTGCCCGGGGTAGAACAGGGGGGTCTGCTCTGGAGCGGAGTGGGCAGGAGGTGGCAGCGGGAGCGGAGTGCGAGGGCCCCAGGCGGGAGCGCGGCCGTGGCCGGAGGCGCTGGGCAGGGCTCGGCTCTGTTGCCGCGTTATCGCCTCGCTGTTTGTGCAAGGTGGGTACCTTTAATACTGCTGCCTGTTTCTGTGGGGGAAAAAATGCTGCGAATTGGAGCAGAGGTGCTGGGGAGGCCAAAATGCGCCCGAGCCCAACACTGACACCCAGGAAAAAGTGACTTATGGGGAGGAAAACACAGGGCACTTGGAGTAATGGTGCCCTTGGGGACAGGAGGGTGACACCAGGGCTGTGCTGGGTGCCAGGTTTGCTGCCTGCTACCACCAAACACAAACACAGAAAGTGCCGCGCAGTGCTGAGCACAGACTGTGCCGTGGGATTTTGACAGTGCTTTCCACATTTCCATAATTTTTATTATAAAACCAGTGGCTTGTGGCAGTCTCAGACCAGGACTCGTGCACGAGCTCCTGGCAGAGCGGAGGGTAATGGAGAAAGCTCCTGCACGTGCTTCTGTGAGCCAGCTGTGTTGAAAGAGCCCAGGTGCCTGCAAGCAGGCAGCCCTCGCTGGGGAGGACACGAATGTCCCCACTATGGGCTAACGTGTGTCCTCTGCTCCATGGCCCGACCTAAGTGTGAGCAAGAGGTGCTCAAGCATGGCCCATGCCAGGGCCCTGCTTCTGTCCCGTCGAGCAAGGAACCTGGCTCGAGGTCACATCTGACAGGAGTTGCTCTCTGCTCTGCCCCAGCTCAAACCTCCCCCTACAGTGAGCCCAAAAGCCAATAAACAGAACCCTGCAGTCTGCTATACTGTACTTTTGCACCCTGACCAAAGCGGGACATTTAAGCTTTTATTCCAGTGATGGGAAACAGCACTTAACGAGCACCACCGTCTCCAGTACTGCGTGACCTTGCCCCCAGCATCTCGGCATTGCCACCACCACAACCAGAGACAGCACCAGGCCCACCTGTCCCCAGGGCGGCCGTCGGGGAGGTGCTCATGCTGGGGGACACGTGTTCTGTGCAGCTCCCATTTGCAGCATTTCTTTGCACAGTCTTTTGTTTGCAGGCCCCAGACAAAGGCCGCGTCCCACGGCGGGTCCGGACCGTCACTCCGCAACCCCGAGAGTGAAGGAGCCGCGTGCCAGAGGCCGGCCCCGAGCCCTCGCGCCCTGTGCCGAGCGGCCGCTGTAGGCCACGAAACGCATCCGCGAGACCCCCGTGGATTTTTAAAGCCCAATCATCCCCCTCAACAACAAAAGAGCGACAAATAACACAGTCCGATCTCGGCAGAACGATGAACGGGGTAAGTTACAAGGTAATGGGTTTATCCATCTC